GCTGCCTACCACGGATTCAAATTTGAATCACCGATTTAAATCCCTTCTTATATTAACTTTGGTTCAAACGACTTGAGTCTTTGTCACAAACTCAAATTTTGTAATCCTTATATCCTAGCAACTTGATGGTGCAAACCTTTGATATTTCAAACTTAGATTATTTGATCTACAAGAATTCATAGTTTGAAATATCTAAGGTCTACGGCATTGGGTTGCAAAGATATAGGAATTCGAAAATTTGAGTTTGTGGCAAAGGCTTAAATCCTTTACACTGGCAGTAGGTATACTATGTAGTTCAAATTCATTAACTCAGTCCAAGGTCGATATGTTAATAAAATATTTTAGTCTAATTTCTTCATGAAATAGGAATGATCTCACCTTGTTTTCTTTCATTAAAAAATTTTCGGAATTTTGAGGGTTTGAATTCTGTGGATACCATTGCCTCAAAATAGATTTATTTTCTGTTTGTTTTTGTATTGTATTGTTAGTATTGTTGGTGCATAGGACATGAGGTATTGGAATATTGGTTTACGGCTCATTATACTGTTTGTTTATGTAATACCTTTCTAGTATGCAGTAATCATTATACATTTAAATGGGCCCTAGTTTTAGGTGTGCTATTTGTATTTTAAGAAATAATACGTTTAAAAATACTGCACTATGCGGTCATTTGCGGTTTTACTGCAATATGCAGTCATTTATTGTAGTCATTTGCGGTTTTACTGCAATATGCAGTCATTTATTGTTTACTGCAATACGTAGTCATTTGTTGTTTACTGCAATATGTAGTCATTTGTTGACTGCCATATGCAATTATTTGTTGTTTACTGCAATATGCAATCATTTGTTGTTTACTGCAATATGCAATCATTTGTTGTTAACTGCAATACGTAGTCATTTGTTGTTTACAACAGTCATTTTCGGATTATTGCAATATGCAGTAATTTGCAGTTTATTGCAATATGCTGTAATTTGCGGTTCACTGCAATATTTGGTCATATGCAGTTGTTTTCAGAAATATAATTTTTTTAACCTTTATTACACAATTTGTGAAAAGGAAAAAGGAAAACAAAAATCTCCATAATCCAAATACAGACTTATTAAAAAGTTTTCTTTGTGTTGAATCCGGACTAAATCCCAAGTTGAAGAATGGTCGAAATTTAGGTTAATGAACACTGCAAAGAAATAGGATAGGCTGCTTATATGAGGGGAGGGGGGTGGTATATGATGATACAGGGACTGCTTATATAAAGCGTGGGGAGGGGGATTTGGAAAATTATCCAGTTTCTTTTTCTTAATCAACCTTCTATGACATTAATGTACCTGGCTTGATGTTTAGCCAATTAAACTTTTGACATGTTTAGTGTGTATTATTATGAACATAGATCTCCCACACCCCACCTTTCCTTAATACATGCATACTTGTAATTATGTAGGCTAAGTTTCTATCCAAACAGGGGCGTCTATACTTTCTATGTGTTTGTATATTTGTAGTTGAAAAAATCTATTTTTTTCGCAACTACAGTGATAATATCAAAAGTTGAATTATTTTTATCAAGCAGTAAATTAGACCAAAATATTTGTTTTTGCGTTATTAACAACATTTAGTTTATTTGAATGTCATAATTTTAATAAATTTTGTTTTGTATTAGTTACACAGCTGAGAGAACACTGGGAGGAAACAAGTCAAAAGGTAATTAGAAGACGACAAAATGTTTTTTTAATTTATAATGTTTCTAAAAAAATAAAAAACTTAAAGATGGTTCAACAAAATCAAATCAAAGATGGCCAAAACCTCAAAAAATGTTAAGAACAGGACCCTAATTGAGGGAAAAAATAATGAGAAAAAACACCTCAACCCACCTTGATAAGGCATATATCCAAAATTGTAATTAAACCAGTTCAAAAACAAATATTTGTTCGGTGTTGTTGAATAACATCCGCATGAGTATGAAGGCTGTGATGTGAATATAAAATTTTACCTAAAAATGGTGGCAAAGATTTAATAAATCTGGATTCACGCCAAGGTTTGAGTAATGAGCACAAAAAATACAAATGAGCAAACTCAAATCGTTATAGTTTCCTCTGATAACAGAGCTGAAATCTTCTTAAATGCTGGAAAAGAGATTTTCAACTCTATGCTTGATAATGCGGTCTTTGAAGCACCAAAATGGCAAATATTTGGTTTTGAGAACTTTCTGAGTATTCTTAAGGACATGGCTGCCAAAATAAAATATTAAATTATAAGCAAATTTTAAAAAAACATGATTAACCCTGATTAAATTCACAAATAGAAATTGTTTTTTTTGGGGGGATTTACCGGCTTTTATTCCGTGTCTTAACCTTAGTTCGTTTAAGATAAAAATGGGAGTTAGATCGATAAAGGAAACCAATGAGTGATATAAAAACAAGTCATAAATGCAAACCTTTAGATTAGTGCATTTTAATCGTTGAATTTACCATTTTAGTCCCAATAAATGAAAATTTGCATTTTGTGTCGTTTTTTAGTAACACCCTTTACTTTCTTGGGGTTGATTGGAATTTTCAAAAATTTGTTTGGCACAACAGAATATCCTAACCCCTCTCATTTGCAAGTTTTGCAGTTGCAAATATAAATAAATATTTGCGCAGGTTTTATCTCGGAAAACTGAATTGGAGAGCTTAGATGTTTCTGCTACTGAACTAGAAAGAAGGAAACGAGAGGTTTGTCATTCATTATTCAACGACCCAACATTCAAGAAGGAAGGGGGACATGGGGGTAGACAAGGGGTGGAGGTGAAAGGGAAGGGGTAAAAGTAATAAGTTATAATACATTTGAAATTGTAACACACTTATCAAATGTTTTTTCCTTCTATATTCATTATCAAATTAGTTTTTCTCCTTTCAAAAATACATATTTTTTTGTTGTTGAACCCTTTGAGAGTAACCGCGATGAAAGTTTTAAGTAGGGAACAGAATGCAATATCTAAAACTAACAAACTTTTTAAAAATTAGTTTAAGAATTTAACAATTTTGATAAGCATAGAGAAAATCATTTAATTTGGCATTGTGAGAATATTTAGAAAGCTCGATATCCACTGAAAAAAAAAACTTCTAAGTTGAGATTTTATTCTTAAAGAAAGTAAATTTGTACATTTCTGAGGTATCAAACCTCTCAAAGGAGGATGGAGGATAACAATTTAAAATTGTTTAATATTTTTAGCTTGATGCTGGCTTGAGTCGGCTGGAAGGTTGGAGAGCAAGATTATTGAATGATTCTAGAAAAATCCAAGATGAGCCCAGAATACCTGGACAAACTATGGATGAGTTTTTGGTGAGAATTGATAAAATAAGGTTTTAATTTTTAGAGATTACGAATATTTTTTTTTTACTTTTGTTCAGATAAAAGGTTTAAAAAGTACCGTTGTGAATCTTACAAGCAACTTCTTAATTTTTGGGTCACTCGAAATGACGTCATCAGTCGACATTTTAGAAATATTTTGATAGTATGACTTTAAATAGCCAAATGCAAATGAGGCACACCAGTGTAAACAGACAAATTTTACTTAATAACTTACTGGTAAAACTATTTCCTTTGTAACAACATCAAAAGCAGTATTGCTTTAATGTCGTCTTCCTAGCCTACAGTTTTCAGTTATCACTGCAGTTTTGCTGTAATGTTGTCTTCCTAGTCTACAGTTTTCAGGTTATCGCTGCATGATCAAAATATTTGTTGTTTAGTCGTTTAAAGAGGAGGTTGAAGGCTACCAGGCTAGAGTTAGAGACTTTAACGAGTTTGCCCAGGTACACGGTGTAAAAAAAATTTGGACCAATGAAAAATCCTTTAAAATATCCAATTTTCATCATGTGGTCACAGCAATCCAAATGTGCAAGCTTTAAAAATGTATAAAAAAGCTAGTATAAGGTCAAAAAAGGCCAAGGCTTTGCGACAATTCAAAGCCACTCAATCCTGAAAATTGATGCACAATACTTCGATCTTTTTGGATTATATTGTAAAAATAAAAACCAGTAAACAACACTTTTAAATTCATCCGCAGTCGCAGCTTACTTTTTTACACGCAAATGTTATCTTAGGTATTATATAGTCAAAAAAACTGTTCTCATTAGAAAATAACATTATTACCTATTTCCCAGTCAAGCTTACATAGGACACAACGTTTGTTCTCCACTTTAGATACGAAAAACTATGTTGAAATTATTTTATGTTGTTGGTAAGCTATTTATAAGGGGGGGGGGGGGGAATTATTTATTTTCCAATTTGAGTAAAAAGAATAATATCTACATTCTGCAGAGTGTAAATGTCGGTTTTAAACTGTGAGGAATGTTGAGTTCATTTAAAGTTTCTATCTCTGTAATCTGTAATTTAGGAGTTTACCCTTGCACTACCTGAACATGAAGCATCAGCTGTTCATACAATCAATCAATCATTCAATAAGAGGTAAAATATTATTCGGATACAGTGAGATACATAAAAATGTGGAATTTGATTTTAATTTAAATCAAAAAGTGTTACAAGTTGCTTTATATTGAAATGTCCAAATGTGTACTCTGTACAAATATCTTGTTTCATGTTATTTAAAATTATTACTTGAGTCAAAAAGTCGTCTTCCTATTGCACAGTGGTATAGGTTCCATTTTTGTGAAGGGTTACCCTTAACCTAACCTTAACCTAACCTGGAGCTTACAAAATATTAAAATCTTAGGGTTAAATACCGTTTTTTATACTTCAATAATAAATTTTTAATGAGTTTTGACGGTTTTGAAAAGAAAAAAAATCAAATCTTCACAATCGAAAGAAAATTTAAATCTAAAAATGATATAAAAAAGAATGAAAGGTCAGATGGTAGAAATTCCAATAATACTTTTCATATTTTGTTTAGATATTCCCTGCTTGCCTTCCACACTGATAACCCAGCATCTTTACAAAGGTAAGGGACATAATTAAACCCTAAAATAGAATATTAAAGGGACCGTTCACTTATTCCCTGCTTGCATTCCATACTGATAACCCAGCATCTTTACAAAGGTAAGGGAAATAATTAAACTCCAAAATAGAATATTAAAGGGACTGTTCACTTATTCCCTGCTTGCATTCCACACAGATAACCCAGCATCTTTACAAAGGTAAGGGAAATAATTAAACTCCAAAATAGAATATTAAAGGGACCGTTCACTTATTCCCTGCTTGCATTCCACACAGATAACCCAGCATCTTTACAAAGGTAAGGGAAATAATTAAACCTCAAAATAGAATATTAATGTTTTGAACTTTCTTATCAAGAAAGAATTATTAGGAAAATTTTTCTGTTTATTTAAGATCAAATCAGATTACAAAGTTATTTAGCTGAATCTCTAAGATATTTCACTGTTTTTTCCTAAATCATTCTACAACTACCTTGGATTTTTTATATATATTGTCAAATTTAACCTTTCACTTTACACAAATTGTATTATTTTGACATTTTTTGTCGTAAAAACTCAATTAGAAAATATAAGACTCAATCTCTATTTTGAGGTTAATTGCACATATTCGATTGGATAAAACGATATCTAATCCGGCCCAATTACATATTTTATTGTCCTCGGGGTTTTAACAATGTCATTACACTTCTTTATCTAACACACTAAATATACCAATTATAGTGTTGAATCCAGAAAATTATATAAGATGGATTAAGATTTCTACATAAAGATACCAAAGTGAGTCCCGATTAACATCAAAATTGAGTGACAACTTTTAATCTGTTTTCTCAATTCCTGATATATATGTATATACTTAGCTTCTCTGTCAGTTTCTTTCTTAATATCCAATAAACGTAAACACAGCTGAATCGATCAAGCTCAACATTTTTTGAGGCAACTCACGTGACCCCAGGGAAGGTTTATGGTAGCTCAGAATTATACAAAGGAATTGAGTCTTTGCCACAAACTCGGAATTTTAAATCCCAATTTCTTTAAAACCAAATGTCGTAGACCGTAGATATTTCAAACTATGAATTCTGGTGGATCAAACAATGTAAGTTTGAAATATGAAAGGTAAACATCATCTGGTTGTTGAGATTTTGGAATTATAAAATTGGAATTTGTGACAAAAACTCAATTCCTTTGTCTCAAAAATTGAAGATTTTTGAAAAAATTATGAAATCCCTGAAAAATGTTACTAAATCCTCGATTTATTTTTGTTATTATTTTATTATTATTATTATTATACAAAGAGAAGATGTTCTCAGATAAAGCCACAATTAAATTTTGAAAAATAAGTTCAGTTGCGAAGCGCCCTAAAAACATTTATAGAATTTTTTGAAAATTAATGGAAAATTCCGTAAAAGACCGGAAACCCTCGTAGATTTTTTCTATTTGTAACGAACAAAATGAACCATGATAAAACATAATAATCTTTTCTTAAGAAAGGTTAGGATTGAGCCCAAGATTTGGTGATCTGTTTGTAATATAGACTGTATAAAACTCTCAATATATACTTTCCTTGTCTGGGTCTCTGTCTGTTTGTAATGTAAACTGTATATAATCCATATATACTTTGCTTGTCTGGGTGTCTGTCTGTTTGTTATGTAAACTGTATACAATCCATATATACTTTGCTTGTCTGGGTCTCTGTCTGTTTATTTGTATCCAATAAACTCAAAACTGCTGTATAACGGAGGGGGCCTCACTTTATGTTTGGGACCTGACCTGACATAAGGGAAGGTTTATTGACGATCAGAACTACTAAATTTGTCTACAAAAATGTTTGATTTTCCTAAAATTTTGAAATTCCATAATTACAAAATTTCAAATCCCGAAAATCATTTTAATGTTATTTTATCGAAAAGAAAATACTAAAACAATTGAGCAACAGTGTAAGCAGACCCAGTTTGCACTAAATTAGTGAATTAAAAAGTGTCTAGTGAAACTATTTGCTTTATAACAATCAATGAAAAATTTAAGACTATTATTGTTCAGATTAAAGCTTGAAATTAAGTAAATATAAGTTTGGAGTGGAACTACAGGGTTACCCACAAAGGATGAGACTGTAAAGACGACTAGAAACTTTAAAGATAAAACGATCTAGAGGTCAAATTAGATCATCTATCTTTGATAAAGTATTTTATGGCTTATTAAATGATTTGAAAAAGGGAAAAACATGTTTACAGTTGCAGGAAATTATAAATATATAGAAACAGACAGCATCTATTCCTTACAATTGTCTCTGAAGTTTAATTCTTTTTGGTTACCCCTGTATACTCCTGTTTAATCCTCTAATCCCTGCCTTACACTATCTTAGCCAATATTATAATCCTACTTTCTTCATTTAAACCTTCCTGCAGTTATATTAGATTAACATCCTTTCTCCAGATTAATTATTTTAACATCCTTTCTCCAGATTTATAAGTCCACCATCCTTTCTCCAGATATATTAGCCCACCATACTTTCTGCAGAAATATTTGTCCACCATCCTTTCTCCAGATATATTAGTCCACCGTCCTTTCTGCAGAAATATTTGTCCACCATCCTTTCTCCAGCTATATTAGTCCAGCATCCTTTCTGCAGAAATATTTGTTCACCATCCTTTCTCCAGATATATTAGTCCACCATCCTTTCTCCAGATATATTAGTCCACCATACTTTCTGCAGAAATATTGGTCCACCATCCTTTCTCCAGATATATTAGTTTAACTACTTTCTCCAGATATATTATTTTAATAATCTTCTTCTAAAAATATTAGTTTAACATCCTTTCTATCATTTCTCCAGATTAATTAGTTTATCAATTGAAAGGTTGTCTGAGTGTTTCTAAAAGGTTGTGAAGATAATTAAGAACGATTACAATACTTAAAACGGTTAATCTAGCGTTACAAAACTAATAATTGAATAATTGAAGATAATACCTTCTAAATCAGAAGATAACAATATCATTATATGAGACTAATTTTATAAAAGAATATGAAAATTATTATAAATAATACCCTGAATACATTGCACGCCGAACATGCAATGCTATTATTATCTAATTTTCTCCATACTTTCCAAAAATAAATTTTTAAACCTTTTATTCCATTAAATCCCCTCTATGTTTACGTCAATAAATGGACTAGACAGACATTGCTCATTTATCGCGTATAGAAATCCGCCAAACGTTAATTATTAATCATATTTCTCACGAAGATACCTTCATCATCTACTAATATCACAAGAAAAAGTAAAGTTCATGAGAAGAACGTACTAGAGCTGAGTGCGAAATATTTTCAATACAACACTAAAAAAAATAGTAATTTAATAATAAAGATTAGATGTATGAATGACAATGAATCTAGACTAAGAATTAAAACATAAAGAAAAAAAAAATGTTTTAAAACGTGCAAAAGTTCATTGAAATCCAAACATTTGCTTGAATACGTAAAGTGTTTAGTTATGCTTTTACAATAAAGAAAATTTGTATATTTGGCCAAAAATCTGCTTTGGTGACAAGGTGTCTCTGAAAAAAAGTGTTTTTAGGCTTTTTAGTTCACTGAACATCATTATTTTATGTTGAAATGTACGTAAAGTAGGTACAATACCCACAAAGTGGGGGGGGGGGGGAAAACATTTTTCTCTAATCTTTAAAATTACGCATAATACTCACACGATATACAACTAGGTTTTTCGCATAATTAAACCTCTCATAATTCTCAAGATAAATATTGATTACTAACTCTGTTTAAATATTTTTGCAGATTTAGTTTCTTTAAGGTCAATTTCAATTGCATATTATTATCTAGATTTGTAGATATTAATATAAACTGAATATAATTAAGGAACTGAACTGGGTAGATGAAGTTAAATCAAGAATATTCTAGAAATTTATTTAATTAATGCCATGTATTTACTGTGCCAGGATTTACTGGAGAAACTTCATTTTAGTTTTATTTCCGAGAAGAATAATAATAAAACATTTCTCATCACATATTCTCTAATTTAAATGCATTAAATCTAATTTTGCAATCAAACTGTTTCGTAAAACTATAACCACATTGAAACATTCTGGTGTAAAATATTGCCAAGTTTCCTAACCGTTTCCTAACCGTTTCCTAACCGTTTCCTAACCGTTTCCTAACCGTTTCCTAACCGTTTCCTAACCGTTTCCTAACCGTTTCCAAACCGTTTTTTGAATTTTTTTAGCTGGTTTTGATCATTTTTTCATTCTACACAACTGATATCTCAGTGAAAGAAAAACCAAATTAAACTATAAATTATTATAAAATTAGGATATAAATTGTTGGTTTAAAAACATCTTGTGAATATGATATGATGAACATTAACTTTCGATTAATTTAAACTTCTAGAAGATACAGAGTTACTCACAAAGGAAAGGACTTCAGAGACGACATTCCGATATTTATAGTGTACGTTTCCTTAAAGTCATGATCCTCTACATCTATAAACTTTCTTTCTTTGCTAGAGGAATTGAGTCTTTGTCACACATTAGGATTTTCTTATTCCTCTATCCTTGCAACAAAATGTCACAGATGAGATATTTCAACCTATGAATTCTGTGAGATCAATTAACATAAGTTTGAAGTATGCATGCTTTACACCATAAGGTTGCAAGTTTATAAGAAATCTAAAATTTGAGTTTGTGGCAAGGACTCACTTCTTTTACCATTTAAAGACTACATTAAAATAAGAAGATTTTAATTAAAAATCCCGCCCCTTGTTGGTAACCCTGTATCTGAAAAAAGGAAGTATTTTGAACAGCCAATCATTTAAAATCTTACAAAGTACGCAATTTCTCTACTTTGGTTTTTCTTGGTTTTTTCCTTGTTTAGAAAGAAATTTAATTTTTATTTTATTTTGATTAATTAGAATATTCTGTTGCAGTGTTTATGAGAACCTAGAGAACTTTCAGTCCTGGATTTCCAGCGTGGAAATAGGATTAAAGGTAATACTTTGAAAACTTTGCATTTTAAGTCTACTTACTCAACTTCACCCTCTCCAAATAAAGAAACCAGATTCTAGGATTTTTAAAAATATTAAAAAAAAATAATTTAAAGTGAAAGAGATGAAAAGGAAGAAGTAGATTAACTAGCTTCGTAAACACTAATGTTATCCTGATTCAATTTTTTCTAGAGGCTAAACATCCGTATACATATGAAATCTATTAATGATGTATGTATACCCAGCATCTTTACAAAGGTAAGGGACATAATTAAACCCTAAAATAGAATATTAAAGGGACAGAGTTGCAGGTTTTATGCTACAAANCAGTGTACAGTGTACAGTGTACAGTGTACAGTGTACAGTGTACAGTGTACAGTGTACAGTGTACAGTGTACAGTGTACAGTGTACAGTGTACAGTGTACAGTGTACAGTGTACAGTGTACAGTGTACAGTGTACAGTGTACAGTGTACAGTGTACAGTGTACAGTGTACAGTGTACAGTGTACAGTGTACAGTGTACAGTGTACAGTGTACAGTGTACAGTGTACAGTGTACAGTGTACAGTGTACAGTGTACAGTGTACAGTGTACAGTGTACTGTGTACTGTGTATTGTGTACATTGTTCAGTGTACAGTGTACAGTGTACAGTGTACAGTGTACAGTGTACAGTGTACAGTGTACAGTGTACAGTGTACTGTGTATTGTGTACATTGAACAGTGTACAGTGTACAATGTACAGTGTACAGTGTACAGTGTACTGTGTACAGTGTACAGTGTACAGTGTACAGATCTTCATAGATCTAAAATCAAATATTGCAAATCATCTGATTGTTTCCGAGCTAACCCCATGTTTTATGAATACATTAATAACTTAAGATTAACTGAAGATTATCTGAAACTTGACCTTTTCTAAAATTATGAATTTGATTAAAATGTGAAACCATGGAGCTCTTTATATCACACTGGTTCCATGTAACCTTATACTCCAGCTACATTAATCATACAAAGTAAAAATATTTTAAATAAATCAAACCATCCTTATTCAGCGCTTAAACAAACCTTAAATGTCTACAATTATCTTATTGGTTTAAGATCAACTAGTTTTAAATGACAAAATTATAATAATAAAAAACTAGATACTTGTAAATGTAACCTTTAGTCGCTAAATCATGACGGTCGACTGAAACAGTTTAACTTTATGACAAGGCATACAAGCACATCAAACTAAACTAAATTGAAGTAAGATTAAAGTCTTCTATGTTTTCAATAATAACTCATCTTATTAAAGAGCTATTGAGAAGAAAAAAGATGTTTTGAATGTCTAATGTTTACCCATCTAAATATGCTTTTCACGGGAGGCCGTAGTACATTTGAGTTTTCGAGCCGGGTCAACCCTTCCAGTCCCAGTTTGTACTGTATCGCCAAATCATTGGGTAAATAAAGCAGACAATAGGACTAGCCGGTGCAACAAGGTTGACGCGGCCAGACATTAGGTTGAATTTACTTTTAATAAAGGGTTAGAGGTGCGTGACGTGTGCATAAAATCCATACTGAAGGATCTACCATTAATGTCGAATAAATTTGACCTTCTCCTCCTGTTTAGTTCACAGTGAAAGATTCTACTTTCCTGGTCCTGCTATGTAAACATATGCAAACCAAATTAATAGACAATAGCTTGTGTTAAGTATACTTTGTATAGAGTGAATACCAGAATTCTATGTGTTAGAATGTGAGATTGTCGCTCTGAAGGCATAGTTAGGACAATACACCTAGAAAACTTAAATCAATCTTAAAAGGGAAGGGTGCTGCACTGGGTTTCAGTACTTTCAAATATCAATCACGCGAAAAAAAACTTCATCTAAGGGAAAAAAACCTAAGTCATGTTATGAGCTTTTCCTAGATACATAGACTAGAAAGCTCATATTCGTCTTCGGTAACCGCCAAAAAAGTCATGGGAAAAAAATTTCCGGAAAAAAGTCCTAAAATTTCACACTAAAAAAGTCCTGTGGAAAAAAGTCCTATTATTAAAAAGTCTCCGGAATTAAAGTCCTACCGGACCAATTCGAGACTTTATTTTTTAGGACTTTTTTCTGGCTTTCTGGCTCTGGCTTATGATTTTATACAAAAAAGTCCTCGGAAAAAAAGTCCTCTAACAAGTGAAAATGCATGATTCACAATTCCAGGTTTTTCTTTTCCTCGGATTTATTTTCTTCAGGACTTTTTTTCCTGGGATCTTATTTCCTGAGACTTTATTGGCAGCCCCCATACTATTTTAGGGAAAAAAGTCCCAGGAATCAAAAACACAGGACTCTATTTCCAGTGACATTTTTTCAAGGACTTGATAAAATTCGGACTTTTTTCCAAAGTTTTTATTTCTAGGTTTTTTTTCCAGAAACTTTTTTTCCCGGGACTTTCTTACATAGATTCGTTGTCTTCACCATACCGAATTGTTTCAGCTGAGATTGAAAATATGAATTTAGCTCTATACTAGCAATTTCAGTGGACTTTGTGTCCTTTAGAACCATGGGGAGTGTAGCCTGGTTTATCTGAAAACAATGAGACTTGGAAAGATACGTCTCGAGTAAATTGTTATAGAGTAGGCGTTTACTAAACTCAGTTCAGAATAACAAGATACTGATCAGATAAAATTTGTTTTCTACAGATTAACCCCGAGAATTAAAACGTATTCAATGATCTTTTTGTATGACGAGTACAAGGTTTTGTACAATTTTCCATTTTATAGTCTGCATAAAAAATCTATTTTAATGTATTTAGGGAGCCTTCAAACTAAAACATCAAAGATAAAGTAATGTACCTTCATTACTGAAATCGTCAGGCCAAAAATAAGTGTATTTTATAGAATAGATTCATAAAAAACTACCATAAATTGGTAAAAATGATATGAAAGTGATGTCTCCTGCACGAACAGTTTACTGTTTATCTACGCAATCTGTGGTTTGAGTGTTTTCTGTATAGTATGGTTTAAGAATTTAAGTAATCTATATATACATAAATCTCAAAATGTATAATAATAATATCCGGGATGATTGGAAGCTTGTTTACATATATTTGCTAAAATAAATTGGCAAGATATGATGCACCGCGGCTGTATGACTGCAGAAATCCGTTCAGCACCAGAATACTCTGAGCCACAAAAAAAATTAATATATTAATTCCTGTATTTTTTAATTTTCTTTAGACTAACAATTTGGAGTCAAGGAAAACTTACTTCAAAGCGTTGGAAATTTTTTAATATTTAACAGAAATACATTTTAATAAAACGGTTTTGCTTAAAGGGACAGTAAAGGAAAAATGAAAGGGGGTATAGGCTGAAAGCTAATCACTTTAGCTCTTGATCGCGACCCATGAAAGTTTTATCTGATGTTCCTGTCTCGAGAAACTGATATAAAACTGTGTTAAAATTATACGAAAATTCATATATGTAAAATTTTGAAAATCTGAAACTTAAATCACGTGACCAGAACTATCACCAATGGCAGAGCAGTATACTGGTCACGTGTCTCCGCCTGTATCACGTGACCACTTTACTGCACTGCCATTGGTGGAATTTCTGGTCAAGTAATACGGACGTATAAATAATGTTTTGTATGAAATCTATTGAAAATAGAAATAACAAATATAAAAGTAAACCTTATTTACAATTAGCTCTCTCTGGGATATCATCGTTTTCAGATTGGTTGCATATTTGCTGAATATGATCTGTTTAAACCTACTACTTTTATACAAAATTGTATATATATTTATTTTCGTATATATTTTACACAGTTTTATATCAACTTCTTGAGACAGGAACATCAGATATGACTTTCATGGGTCGCGATCAAGAGCTAAAGTGATTAGCTTTCAGCCTATACCCCCTTTCATTTTTCCTTTTCTGTCCCTTTAATCAAAACAAAAATTGACCATAGAGTTTTGCATAACTGCAAATTAAACAATTTTTGATTTGTTATGATGAATAGCCAATCAGATCACTTCATTTGAACTGAACTTATAAAACAAATCGCGTCTGAGTTTAAGAATACCCATGGCTACAAAAAAATTTACGAATTGGTGATATCATCAACCCAATGACTAAAGCAACTTGACTTTTACAAGTGTGCAACACTTTTAAAGATTTCTAGATTTCTTTTCTGAAATAGTCTTTTTTAATAATGTTGTTCATTATTGTTCTTTGTTTGTTATAAAACAAAGTTTAGTTTATCAGGAACTCTAATAAAAGTAGAAAGGTTTCCTGATATAATTTATATTAATTTCATTAATTAATTTGCTGGAAGGTATTATTGAAGCCTTCTTTGTTGCTAGAAGCCTGCAGAGAAATGGTTAAAGTTGCACAAAGTTAAGATATGCATCATTAGATTAACCTGAATGCAAAACATTTCCTCTAAAATTAGAATACTAAAACTTAAGCTGACAGTGGGAATTGGGAAGCTGGTTTGGGGGAAAATAAATATGGTTTAAAGGGAGTGTTCGCGAAAAATGAAACAGGTATAGGCTTAATGCGATAAAAAAGCGCTTTTGATCGCTACTAATCTTTCTTCTATCTATTGCGTCTATAAGGAGAAAATTGTTAAAAACGTCTCATACCGAATAACTTAGCGTCCATACAAATTGAGAAAATTGCAACATACGACCTAGACCGATAAAAAATCAATTTAATTTCAAACAAATCATTCAGATATTGCAACCTATAGTCATCGATTATCACATTTATATATAGTTTATATTTTATAATATTTTTAAATTGATTTTTTATATTTTATGATCAGACAAAAATGTAAGGGGTTCCTTTTTTAATCGGACATGATAATTAAAGGGTCACTTAAAATTACATCAGCGGTCCCTTTACAAGAACATCTTAACATGAGTCTAAAATGTCTATTTACTAATCTCAAAGTTAACTATTGATTCTTGTTAACTGCAAAATTAACATAAAAAGATCAGCTTAGATCAGAAATATGTGAACAAATAACAATTAGCAGACAATTGGTTTCAATTCAAGCAAGATTTATTCATATAAAATCATAAATATAACCATTTATTCATATTATATATATATGTATCTAAATATATTGTATATTCTATATATTCACTTTTATATTATTTAAATTATTTAGATTTGTTTGAAGCGACTTCTATATTTATTTTAAACTAGTTAAACTTAATGAATTTAATCCAAACTTCACCGAATAATAAATTCACAACATTTGAAATGTAATATTTAAAACTGTATAAATTTCACCGAATAATAAGGGGGTTAGACGCTATGTTTACAAATATGAAATTGAATTTTATCTTCTTTCGTCAATAGGCCTTTAAATGTTTCCCAGGCAAAGTCTGAAAAACTAAATTTATGAAGAGAAGTAAGTTACTGAATTATTTCATAGCTGCGCAAAGTGCCATTGTCTATTGGGCTTTCTAAAAAATTATTTTATGTGTGAAATAGTGCTTAGAATTTGTATGACAAAACTGCAATGAAATAGAAGAGTAGAAAAAAAGTCCAAAACTATGCCTTTATTTTCGACAAATCTTATACATTTCTCTTACATTTTTAATTTTTCCTAAATTATCTTTTTTATCATATAAGCATATTAATAAGCGAGGGTCAAATTAAAAGGTATCCTTTTATTGAGCATTTTATTCGATATTTCTATAAATCTTTGATATGTTTTCTAATAAATAAAAAGCTTATTTGTAAAACTGTTTTAGATTGTTGTAACACTTTTAGGATTGTTAAAAGTTTTTTATAATGTTCTTTTCACTTTTTATATTGGTCTAACAATTTTTTAGATTGTCCTAAAAATATGTTCTTAATGTTTGAATGTGAGCCAAAACTAACCGTATTTGCGTCAGTTCGCTATGTATTAGGTCATTGTAAACCTAACTTTTTTTGTTTAATTGCTCTGACCAAATTTAGTTTGTGAAAAAAACAAATTTTCTATAAATTAAAGAAAATATTTTTAAAAACTTTTTTTTAAGGAAGTAGAACAGGGAAGATCAACGCAAGATGAATCCCAGCAGCTTGCCAGGATACAGGTAGGAAAATAATCAATCAAACTCAATATTATCAAGTTTTTCGTATAATTAGCCTGAATTTGGTTTGTAAGTTTAAAGGAACTGATTTGAGTTTGATTATTGTTAATACGGCTCCAAATGGAAAATATGAATAAAAAAAAAATTAATGTTGAATCATACAGAAACATAATGCTACTATATTTAGTATTAAAAGGACTGTATTAAAATTGTATTCAACGTTTCAAGATTTAAGCTGGCGCTCAATTGAAACCGGTTATTGGCGGATTTGAGACGCAGCACAAAGTTTAAAATGGTAATTTTGTGAATTTGGCATGGCCTCTTGAAAGAGAGGTTCACTTGAAATTACAATGTCAATCCCTTTAATTTATAAATAATTCATATTTTCTAATACGAAGGATGGAAGTATTTAACTATATGAGCTATTTTATTGTCCCTATATCACTCAAATAATTCTAAATCATTGAATTTGATCGTGATTTTCTCGAAAATGATTTGTCGGCTAACCTAACTCTCGTTTTTTTCTTCACAAAACTAAAAGTTAAGTCCAATCCGCGGCAGTTCTATGATTGAGCCGTTCTAAGATATTTCTAGATATGTATCAAGGAATAGATTCTTCTTATTAGAATAATTAGCCGAATATACATGAATCCAATTCAAGATCTGATTGAATTATAGAATATCCTGAATATATACTTCCAACCTTCTAGTCAAATTATATTTATGATATATGTATTTTAGTTACATAATTTCATATATTACATGTATACACTGTAAAATGTAATGTGTACAGTGTGCAATAAACAGTGTAGTATGTACACACTGCGTGTAATGTTTAATGCACATTGTAACGTGTAAAAGGTACAGTGTACAGTGTACAGTGTAACGTGTAAAAGGTACAGTGTACAGTGTACAGTGTACAGTGTTCAGTGTTCAGTGTACAGTGTACAGTGTACAGTGTACAGTGTACAGTGTACAGTGTACAGTGTACTGTGTACTGTGTATTGTGTACATTGTTCAGTGTACTTTTAAAACTGTATAAATTTCACCGAATAATAAATTTACAACATTTGAAATGTAATATTTAAAACTGTATAAATTTCACCGAATAATAAATTTACAACATTTGAAATGTAATATTTAAAACTGCATAAATTTCACCGAATAATAAATTTACAACATTTGAAATGTAATATTTAAAACTGCTTAAATTTCACCGAATAATAAATTTACAACATTTGAAATGAAATATTTAAAACTGTAAAACTGTAAGATATCTTATGAGGAAAAAAAATGTAAAAATGGAAATTCTTAAACTCGATGAAATAATCTTGATGCATTCTTTAACTCAAGCATTATAGTGCTATTCTTTACAGAACTATTCATTATAGTGCTATTCTTCACTGAACTATTCATTATAGTGCTATTCTTTACAGAACCATTCATTATAGTGCTATTCTTTACAGAACTATTCATTTTAGTGCTATTCTTTACAGAACTATTCCTTATAGTGCTATTATTTACAGTGCTATTCTTTACAGAACTATTCATTATAGTGGTATTCTGTACAAAACTATTCATTATAGTGCTATTCTTCACAGAACTATTCATTATAATGCTATTCTCTGCAGAACTATTCTTTATAGTTCTCTTATTTACAGAAATATTTTTTATAATGCTATTCTTTACATAACTATTCATTATAGTGCTATTCTTTACAGAACTATTCATAGTGCTATTCTTTACAGAATTATTCATTATTGTGCTATTCTTTACAGAACTATTCATTATAGTGCTATTCTTTACAGAACTATTCATTATAGTGCTATTCTTTACAGAACTATTCATTATAGTGCTATTCTTTATAGAACTATTCATTATAGTGCTATTCTTTACAGAACTATTCCTTTTAAAGCTATTCTTTACAGAACTTTTCATTATTGTGCTATTCTTTACAGAACTATTCATTTTAGTGCTATTCTTTACAGAACTATTCCTTATAGTGCTATTCTTTACAGAGCTATTCATTATAGTGCTATTCTTTACAGAACTATTCATTTTAGTGCTATTCTTTACAGAACTATTCCTTATAGTGCTATTCTTTACAGAGCTATTCATTATAGTGCTATTCTTTACAGAACTATTTATTATAGTGCTATTCTTTACAGAACTATTCATTATAGTGCTATTCTTTACAGAACTACTCATTATAGTGCTATTCTTTACATAACTTTTCATTATAGTGCTATTCTTTACATAACTTTTCATTATAGTGCTATTCTTTACAGAACTATTCATTTTAGTGCTATTCTTTATGATAATACTGCAGTACTATTCTTACATAAATATTCTTAAAGTACTATTCTATTACTATTCTTTATAGTACATAGTAAACATGAGATTACATGGACTCTTATGTTCCACATAAACAGTCTATTTTGCAGAAACACAGATTTCTGTCAAGTTTATTTTCAAACTACCCTGTAAATGCAGTCTCTTGGTCTCCTCAACTTGACAATAAAAGTTTAAGATTTCAAATCCTTAAGAGAAGAAGTGCATTCAGAATTTTTTCTAGCATTTTTTTCCAAAGACACGATTCAAAATTAAATGCAAAAAAAAGGTTACTTTTGCCTCAAAACCACAATAAAAATTTTATTATAGGCATCGTGATTCAAAGTACGTTGAAATAAAAACATAAGGCAAGAATAGATCATTATAATATTCAAATCAATATATTTCCATCATATATACATCTTAATATTACGAGTTCGTTTTGCCTTATTCATATTCTCTGGGAAATCATACAAGATACTTATTTTTTAATATAAAGCTTATTCCACATTATATTGGAAATAAAGTATTCTGAATTTGTCTTTCGATAATCAATATATATCTCTTATTTTTCACGTAGAAAATATGTTTTTTTAGATGCCCAACACATGATGGTAACTATGATGAAGGATTTGATTCTGCCTCACATACTCAGATTTTATAATTCATATATCTTTGCAATCAAGTTTCGTAAGCATTAGACATTTCAAACTATGAATTCTGTCAGATCATATAATTTAAGTTTGAAATATCAAAGGTTTACACCATCAGGTTCCAAAGATATAAGGAATAGAAAATTTGAGTTTGAGGCAAAGACTCAATTCCTTTTTCCTATATGTTATTTCCGCCACAAAATCAAATTTTGTCATCCCTCTCTATCTTTGCAATCCATTGTCGCAGACCTTTAATATTTCAAACTTCATATTCTGTTAGATCAAATGATCTAACATTGAAATATTAAATATGTACATTATCAGATTGAAAATTTGAGTTTGTGGCAAAAACTCATTTACTTTGATCAATCCAAATAAACAAATGAAAACTGGCGTTTTTTTAACTCCTTTTACTATATACCATTTTTAAGTAGCAAAATTCGATATTATTGTGCAAAGGCATTTATAGTTTTTCTAGAATAAAGCAGGAAGAAATTCATATTCTTTAATTATAACAAAAAGAAAAATAGAAAATACGTTTATATTTTTATTATATTCTATATAATAAAGCTAAAATTCGTTTTATTTTCCAAAGTTTTTCTTAAACTTCACGGGCAACGCCGGGCACTTAGCTAGTCTAATAAAACAAACCATTAAAAATATAATTTGTGGGAATAATATCTCACATTTATGTAATTCCCAATATGCTCTTCAATAGGAGGAGTTATTAAAAAAAGGTTATTAATCTTACATGTTTTTTACTTTATCGGCGATCGTCATGTTGATTAATTTCTTTTAATATTTTAATATTTTAGGCTTTTTAAAAAAATTTATCTTTTTTCTTCAAATATTTTGGAAACATTGTAAATGTTCTGTTTTTAGGGTCTATTTTAACAAATTAAAGCTACCAACCTTGATGAATAAAACACAATCATTAAAATATAGAGAAAAAAAAGTTCTTCCCTTTAATATTGAGTTTTGTATAAAGTTTACCCCTATCTATAAAATTATATTGGTGAGGAGAGAGAACCTGGAAGAGATATTTTATACAAACTTTGATTAAATCAACATAATTAATTACTGCTTGCATTGCTGAGAACCCACAGTCTTGGAGTATATATGAACATGAGGAATATTAAGAGATAATCGAGAAATCAGGAGCCAAGGAAATAGTATATGTAAACAGGAGGAAACAGGATAATTAGGAGCCAAGGAAATAGTATATGTAAACAGGAGGAAACAGGATAATTAGGAGCCAAGGAGTATAAGTAAACATGAGGAAACAGGATAATCAGGAGCCAAGGAGTATAACTTTGTTTCTTTTTTATATCTTATTTTATGTCTCTAAACCATCAACATAAATATAATGATGAATATTTAAAATTTAGAAATTCTTTAAATATTTATACAAAACCTTAAATAGAAATAAATATTTCTAAATTAATGAAATCAACAAGAGTTAGTTTTCTGAAATATATGTAAGTAAATTTCAAACTGAACTCAAACCTTCTAAATAACCAATAAAACCAGGTTGACTTAAACCTATTGAATTCCGAAATATATATATATATTTAGTAAATGCCCTACTCCAGAACAGTTTCTCGAGCAGGTATCTATCCAGGTACAACTCAGATTCTCTTGACTATCTATATCAACACACGGCTACTATTCCGTGAGCTATCAACGCCACTACCACTGAGCCCGATCTAGTTAGCTAACGATGCCAATACAGACACTAGCAATTGTTCTATCAACACCACATGCATTGGGTGCGATCTTGTTAGCTACGTGAAATGTAGAATAACCGCGTAGAATTATTAAATCCCTATGAGAATGATAAAGAAACTTAAATGTTGGTACAACTCAATGGATTTAACAAACTTTTCACAAGAAAAATCAAACTTTTTCTAAGCTGTTCAAATCTTTTGAGAATTTAAAATACATTGATATTTCGGAAATTCATTTTTCTCTTAAAGAG